TGAACCTGTTCAGCCTCCACAAGAGAAGGCTGAGGGGAGATCTAGTGGCCTGTTACAAACTAGTCAGAGGGGACCAGCAGGCATTGGGGGAGTCCCTGTTCCCCCGAGCACTACCAGGAGTGACTAGAAATAACGGTCACAAGCTGGCAGAGGGTAGATTCAGACTAGACATCCGAAGGTGCTACTTCACAGTTAGGGCAGCTAGGATCTGGAACCGACTTCCAAGAGAAGTGGTGCTGGCTCCTACCCTGAGGGTCTTTAAGAGGAGGTTAGATGAACACCTTGCTGGGGTCGTTTGACCCCAGTACTCTTTCCTGCCATGGCAGAGGGTCGGACTTGATGATCTGCCCAGGTCCCTTCTGACCCAACCAACTATGAAACTATAATATTATTTCTCTGAATTCAGCTTCCAAATTGGCCTTGCATGAAAACTTCCTACATTTTGGCCTTTTAAAGAACTCCTGGGAAGCCTTTATTAGAACACATCTAAGAGCTATATTTAGAATTTCTATAAAGGTATGGTTATGGCAAAATCATGAATCAAGAAACTATAAAACAATACAGCTCCTCAGTAAAGCATGGCATGGCAGTGCAGGCAGTAATGTGAGTGGACCCTGACAGAATGTCAAGATTCACTTCAGGCCAGAAACCCTTTCAAAATAATAGTATAAAAATAGTATCGTGGTCTCATTGCATAAGCTACTTGGCCAATCAAAGTACATGTTCTAATACATGTCATCATCCTGTTTAAAAACAAACAAACAACTGTGCAGGACAATTCAGGTTTAATTATTCATCTGTTAGTACATTGTTTAGTTATACATTAACTATAAATATTGGTTTTAAAAATCCCTCTGAGTACTGTGACACACGTTAAATTTAACATGTTATAATTAGATCATAGTAACCATTAATATGACTGAAGCTCTCTATCACCTCTTGCAGTACCCAAACCCTGCTTAAATTTCACTGCTCTCCAGCTGCTTGTATGCTAGATGCTGTAGCAATTGCAACCACATAAAACATTAACGTGTCTATTTTGGACTGCAGCAGAACACATGACAGTCATTTTGATTAGCCCCAGAGCATCATGTTCAGCAGCTGTCACAATTTTTCTGATCTGCAGGCCCAGTGACAATCTATAACTACTGACTGCATAGCTGTTATGCTAAAAAGGGCACAGTGGGTGTGTCTACATGAGACACTATTGCACAGTCATTGTTGCGCATTTATTTAGAGCAAGTACCAAATAAATGTGCAGTAAGCAAAGTTACCAGGCAGTAGCACTGTCTTTTAGGTGACGCTGCTGCACAATAGCTTAATAGCTATTAATAGCTGTATAGTAGCATATTAGCTCTATGTGTGCTGTGATGCACTACTACGCAGTATTTTTTTGGCTTCTGTGCAGTCAGCATCTTGCCTAAACATGCCCAGTGAGTCTTTGGGATGAAGAAGAAAGGGCAGATGTATCTACAGGAGTACAGAATAGATGGATGGCTTGAAGTGAAAGAGGATCATGGTGAAGGTAGGTAGGTAAGTTACAGTGTTGCCATGAAAGATGGTGATGTTATGGTGGTGAAGAAGGACATTATCAGTCACATTACTGGAATGCCTTGGGTTTATATAACAGACCCAAGATACTCCTGTATGTGGTCAGGGGAGAAGAAGCAAAGAGAGACAAGGGAAACAGTGGGAGAGGCTAGGAAGCAGAGAGAGGGAATGATATTGGGACTGTCTAAGGTTGTGGTTGTCTGAATGAGGGAGAGTGCACAGCAGAGAGGAGCCAGAAGTAGGAAAAGGCAACAAAACAGCTTGTACAGTCTTTCACTCTGCCTGGTGGAGCCAGCAGGGAAACAGGCTATGCAGCTGTTCTTCAGCCTGAACATTAGCAGATACCAGGGACTTCTTTGTCCTGCTCATCAAACCATCCTGCCTTTTCTCTTAAACTTTCCTCTCTCTCCCACTGTTTTTCTTTCTTGTTTTTTCCTCTCACATTTTAGGCACCTTTCCCACCTCACCATTTTTTTCTTTCTCTCTAATAGTCATACTTTGCTTTCCTCCCTCAAACCTTCCCCCAATGCTCCCCACTGAGAGTGCTGCTTAATCTGGGGGAAGATCTTTGTGTCCAGGCTGCCCTCATAGCTGAGCTGGGAGCCACAAGCATAACAGTAGTGCTTACTGAAGTCTGATGATGACTTTTGCTCACATGCAGGAAATTGCAGCTCTCAGAAACTGCTTGAGATATGAGTTCCCACATCAGATCCCTTGACAGAGCCACTGCAGCCTGTACTGTGACCACATTTTGAGGTGATCAGTATTATATCCTGTGTCCAGGAATCTGGCTTCTGCTTTGCTAGAGCTCTGTCCCAGTGGTAAGAAGGTGGAGGATGATAGCCCAGAGGGAGGGTCTGACAGATTAGATCTGAAGACTCAAGGATGGGAACTGAGGCACCCAGAGTGCCAAGAGTACTTAGACTCAAAGGTTGTGGGATTGGTGTGGGCTGCATGGCTAATGCCCTCCACAGCCTGGTGAGAGCTGAAGACACTCACCACCCCTGTTGTGGACAGTCGAGGGGGTGGTCCACAGTGTGTGGGGGAGTCTTTTTATACTGTCATGCCTATAGCATCACAGAGTCCTTGTACATCTGCCAATCAATCCTCATTTCTGAATCATACTAGGATGATTAAGGCTTCCCCATGCTCAGCACAGCAGAATCTGCCCATGGAGTGATTGTGCTAGGACCACTTTTTGCTTCTGATGCAGGCAGCTGATGGGGCATCATGTGGAGGACAGCTTTCAGGGCTTGCATGACAGCCCATGATTAGCTGTCCGCCCAGGCCCATAAGCTGCCCGGAGATGATGATGTCTGATCCCCCTTCATCTATGGAAAAGGCCCATTTTCTGTGATTAACTTCAGAGCTGTACCTCTGCCCTTGCTGTGTTTGGAAATTGCTCTTGCATTCCCACCCTCTCCCCCTCTGGCTGCCCAAGTTCCAGCCTCCTCCCCCTGCTCCGCCAAGAGTCCCTCTGTGAAATGGCCAAGCCACCAGAATCTCTGGGGCTGTGTACAGCTGCCTCTGAGAAGCAAGGGTCTAGGTTGGGGGTTTGCAACTTTTAGGAGTGGTGGACTGAAACAACACCACTTTCTCCATGGTGGGCTGGCATTTCCAATATAGACATAGGCATCCAGGAGTACAGTTCCTACCTGCACGTAAGTACCAAAAATGCCATATGAACAAAAAATGACCAGTTTGAGGACTAGGAAAGGACTAGAATACCACCACCAGTAGACAGCACTTACTTCCATTGACTGAAACTATTGTACCCCCTCCCTCCCGTGCCAGGGACCCCATTCTCCCCCTAGCAGATGCTGTCTGCACAGCTTCTCCCGTTCTCCACTTCATCTCCCATCCCTCCTTCACTCTTCTTCCACTGTTACACTGATCTCACTGTCAGACTCATTTAGGTCTCCAGACAAAAAGCTGTACTGGGAGGATAAGGAAAAGTCACACAAGGGTACTTTGATGCTCTTTTGACTTAGCAGCACAGAGAGCTGATGGCAGGAGCAATCACAAGCATATTTTTCCACCTGTAACTGTGACTCCTGGACTCATTCCAATGCAGCAAATGACATGAGTCAGCTCCAAGAAAAGAAGCACCCAGTGGCTGCTACTGGAGGTGGGGCTCATTTCTGACCTCAGGAAAGTGAAACTCCTATTTATATTGCCCTGTGAGAACCAGGGCGTCAGGGGACATTGTGAGTATTCTCCAGCATGAAGCAATTGTCCAATCTGCCCGGAGTATTTCAGAGGTCTGATCACTCTAGACTTCAAGGACAATTTCTGTTGAGCCTGCATCCTCTGGTGCTGGAAAGGTTCAAGTCCAAACCGCTGCTGTCCCCATTGCAGACAAATTGCGCAACAGAGAAACCTCAGACCCAATAGTTAGCTAAAGAATGTGGTACAAATAGTCAAACAGCTGAAAGCACGGGCAGCCACAAGAGCAGGAGGCCAGACAGTGTGTGGATAACACCAGGGGACTCTGAAACTCTTCTGTGAGGAGGACCAAGCTGCTCTCTGTGTAGTTTGCCATCTGTTTTGGGCTCACCAAACTCACACTGTGGTCCCCATAGAGGAGGCTGATCACCAGTACAAGGTAAGAGACTGCTGTACTCTCTAATGGTAACAGGGTTTATATGTTATTTATAGGTTAACTCAGTGATTTTCAAGCAGGGTGCCACAGCACCCTGGCATGCTTTGAGATCCTCTCAAGGGTGCCACAGGGAGTCATGCAATGTTAGCACTGTTACATGAGCAGATAGGATTCACAAGATAAACTCAGGGGTTTCAAGTATGAATCCATAGTGTCAAAAGCATTCCGACCTGTTGTGGGCTGAGTTGTTTGTAACAGAAGAATTGTTCAATTATTTTTCTGAAATAAAAATTGAGTGTAAACTAAGAGCTGGCATTTTCCAAGGGGAGCCTCAAGTTTAACACGGGGTGCCTTGAACCTGAAAAGATTGAGAATCCCTAGGTTAGTTCTTTCGTGAGTATTTTTAATCACACTGTGGGCACGTCTACCCATACATTATGGCACTTTTTCTAACGCGCATTAAATTTAGTACCTCCAATGTGAGTTACTAAAGAAATGCACATTAAGCTGTCTTAATGCACAGTAACAAATGCACATGGTTTTTAAGTGACGCTGAATGTACTGTAGCCTATTCTACTGCACATTAGCATAATTGCATTTTGTTTACATGATGCTTTAATGGACAATAAAATAGGCTACTGCACATTAAAGAGCATGCGTAGATGTACCCTGCAAGACATGTCAGTACATCAGCTCTATGAAGCTGAAAGATACCATCAAAAGAAACGTGCACTGAAATGAGGCAAGAGAAGGGAGGGAAATGAATGCTGTCTGCAGAAGCCTTTTGAAAACTACAGTAGTTTCCTCTGGTGAAAGAAAGGAAGTTTTGACAAAACTGAAGTTACTACATGGCCAGTGATGTTTAAATCACAAGAGCTGCAGATTACTCTGAATGAAAAAAACCTACCACAGAATGGGGAAAAAAATCACAGTATCACAGCAGGAGCTGGAAGTCACTGCTGTCCCTCATGTTGCAGCTGCCCTAGCTGCCTTATTATGCCTTTGCATCCCAAGGCCATGAAGTAAGTCAGTGTCATGCCTGGGGCTAGAGCTCAGGTCCCCCAAGGCTGAGTTGTGTATCCTACCTGCCAAACCAGGCTACCTCCCAGAAACACTTAATCTATATGGTCCACGAAGTTCATATAACATTAATGAAAGACTCCTGAGAAAACACCTGAAGGTATGAAGTTTTCTACAGGGTCCTGGGTTTCTTTGTTGTTCCAGGAGTGGTTAAACTCCAGGGCCTGGCTGGAACCGGAGAACTCCCCTGTGTTACATTGTGTGTCCACACGAACAAATGCTAGATCAGTGATTCTCAACCAGGGGCCCACAGCACCCTGGGGTGCCTGGAGATCCTTTGCAACAGAAGAATTGTTCTATTATTTTTCTGTAGTATATAAAAAAAGTGAAAACTAAGAGCTGACATTTTCTGAAGGTGCTTTGAGTCTACCTAGGACTGCCTCAAGTCTAAAAAGGTTGAGAACCACTTCTCCAGATAGATAGATACCTCTCTCTTACAGCATTGATCAGATGTGACTGCAAAACAACTAATCACAGGCTGGTGCCAGCCAAACCAATGGTGCCATTTTTTGGTTTGTGTGGGCAAAGCCTTACCAAATGGGTTCATTTGAATCTTCCAGGGGTATCCCACAGCACAGCCTTTGGATTCTCCCATTGCTATGGGAGCACTGAAGTTGCTACCCAGAAGGCATTGCAGCCAGGATAGTTCAGGACACTACTAGGGGAAAATCCTAATGATTCCCAGCAGACAGGGGCATGGGTAATGTGGTCTGACCTGTAATTACAGCAGTTTTATCCATCCAGTACTCTTATGGATTCAAGGGCAGAAATTCAAGGACAATTGAAAGTCTAAGGCATGGAGAGGGCTGCAACATTGGTACTGCTCTCAGAGGATACTGATACAAGCTGTTACAATGTATGTTACCTGCATCATTCTGAAATGGTAAAAGTGCCGCAAAACAGCTTAATCTTTAACCCTGCAGCAAAATAGCTTAATCTTTAACACTTCTTCATTCAGGGTCAAATTTAGGACAGTTTAGCTTACTTGTATTGCCATAGGATCATGTAGACATAATAGTTGCAGTTTAATAACTGCTGCACACTCCCAAACAGCTGTTCCCCTTCCCTTTTTAAAGTAGCTACATATGTACATATGTCCATACCCAACTCTTGTAGTGTCTGGGATTTGTATCATTTTGTCAGACAAACTATTTCAAGATAAATAAAGTTTCAGGTACAAAAATTCAAGATTCCCACCACCTAATTGCAGTTTACTACTGGTGTAATTCAGTGGAGAAGCAAGCTCAAATAACCTAAAGTTGTTTAAGCAATCACACTCAGGATCCAGTGACAATATTTCAGTTCTGTGACATCTCTGTCACAAGTACACTCAACTCCCCAGGTAGCAATAGTAGTTCTGAACTTTATCAGACTCAATGGGACGAGCGCACATGTGCATCTTGCAGCATCTCAAACCCCTTTGAGACGCTGCAAGAGGCACATGCAGGAACAAGAAAATGTTTCCCGCACTGCAGATTTGCAGATCGGGGGCAAAATTAGACCCCAGGGTTAAAAAAAAACAAAACAAAAACAGAGAAAAAAAAGTGGGGTAACCGGAGGCTGGGTTCTCCACAGAGACTCTCTGGTAGCAGCCAGAGTGTCTCTACAGTTGGCCCTTGCCCTGGTGCTGAATCACACTGCCTGCTGGACCTCTGCTCCAGTGCCAGTAAGTAAGAGGTGGGGGGGCTGGAGGAGGGGGGAGGGGACCCGCATGCTCCCCCAGCCCCTTGGATCACTGCCCTGCCCACACTGGCCCTCTGGCCCCAGCATCCTGGCAAGTAAAAAAACAAAACAAAAAAACCCTGCACTCACCAGCACTAGCAGCTGCCATCAAGGTCACTGGCCACCCCCACCCCACTTGCACAGTGCAGGTGACAGCCACAGCAGCCCCAGCCCCGACCCCGC